CCCCTCACTCTACAAACACATATCAATTAAAAGGAAAACCTTTCCAGATGTTGAAGAGCCTCTCATTTTGAATACTCAGTTGGAATTGAAGCGCATCATTTGCCAGATGCCTCCATAACCTTTAAACTTATTACACACAGAAATTAGATTGCTGCTTTTTCTATGGAACACATTCTCTTAAACATTTACACAAGGAAATCTTCAAGGTGCTTTGGATGAAAATTCCAGTTCCAGCTAGCCTCCCTGCTTGTCTTTGTTTGGTATAACCCCTTTCTGTGTTAATCTCTGATAGCTTAGCTAAAGTTGCTGGGGGGAGGGAGGGTGGTTTGTTCTAAGTGTTTATCATATTTCTGGAACTTTTCCATTGATGTGTCATGTTGCAACATGCTTATGATTTATCCCTAACTCTTTGATTCAGGTAATTACCTGCAATAGGCCCACCTGATGAGAGAGTCTGTAAACCTTTTGATCTGACAATGCAGTACCTGCCAAAAATGTGTTACGTTAACAAAACAAATGAAATTCATGCTGGTTATAGATGAACTTACATGAAAAAGTATTCACTGTCAAATTCAAGTTATGCCAAGGCTATAGACTTTGTTTTGACTCCAAGACAGGGCCCAAAAAAAATCTTGCACATTTCATTTACTTTTGTTCTTAAAATATTTTGCAGAACATTCTAGTCAAAATAAATACAATACGTACTACCGGTATATAATATGATAAACATTAAAGATGAAGTTTGAAGAATTTCTGTGGCTAAATACACATTACCATGATCACTTTGAGAATTCAGAGACATTTTTATGAGCATTCTCAATGTTCTGCAATGCTCTATTTTCAGAAGCTGAGGATCAGACTTACATGTTTAAACCTTTATGATCATAATTTAATGTACAAAATTCCAATGGTGCAATTTTAATACCGTAAAACTCGTTTATAACAAAGTCACTGTGGCCTATGAAATAATTTCACTATATCCATAATTTGTTATATCCCTATAAATAATTCATTAAATTTATATAGCTGGGGATCCAAAGTACCCAGTATTGGCTATATATCGTAATCCATGAATTCACAATATCTGTGTTAGTACTAAACGAGTTTACTGTATGTGATTTTTTTTAGGTCAAGGAATTTGTTATGTAGACTGATGGGCTATTGAGATTTGCATGAAACTTTACTCTTCAAGTTTACAAACACTGTCAGTTATCATAAGTGGGGTGTAGAGTGAAATTAAGGTTTTTTGTTTTGAAGATTTCCTGTTTACTTGAGACATCTTGAAGAAAGAAAAGCTATATAATGTCAAATTGATTCAGAAATGACATTTGTAAATCATTTAAATAATATTAAACATGTACATGTTTTATAAAAAAATATATCAATTAATGTTATTAAATGTTTCTGCATTTGATATCTGGAGCTTTATTATTTTAATTGATTTTTTTTTTCAATAAGGTTAATTTAAGATGACGACCAACAAAAGTCTCTTCTAGTTACCGGTAGCTGCTTTTAAGGAAGTTTGATCATTTATTTTTAAAAATCCATAAAATTCTGAGAACAGTTTTTGATGGAGGTTTTCTTTTCTTATTTGAAGGACATACACAATGTACCTAATAATGTATATTTCCCTCTGATAATTTTCTAATTAAGATATCCCTAATTTTAAGACATAGACATGATAGAAAACTTAAATATCAGATGTTCTTATAGACAGAAAAATCAGCACACATTATCAGGAGTTTTGAACAGCACTATCAACATGATCAAATGATGAAAATCCTTTAAGTTGTATTTTTGAAGAAAATTAACAAAAATAAATGTGTAGATGGTATATTTTTAGTGGATATTTAATTCAGAGCAGAAATGTATAACAATATATGTATAACCATGCATCATGTAAGGATGCAAGGTCCTTTAATTGTTGGAATTCTTTAACCCCTTCCATGGCAAAGATTTTAAGCATTTCTAGACAAATTGATAATAAGATTTGAATGCATTTTTTGAGTATTACTTGTAATTTTTGCATATACAAATGCATATATATTCTGAAAGCAGGGATTGGTTAGTTTTTAAAAATGATTATAAAAATATAATTTCAGTTGCCATGGCAACGAAATACACCATGATCATGCTGGAATTTTCATTTATTCAAGAATGAGTTTCATTCCTTTTTTTTCTTAATTAAATATATCAAAAAATATTTTATTGTTGTGTTGAAAATTATAAGCATGTTGTACATTTTTTACCAAACAATTGAAAGTATTTTGGGGTAATGGTGTTGGGGTTGGGAGGTAATCACTAGAATTCAGCATTTTTACATAGAACGTGCTACCCCTGCATTGATTTCGATAATGGCAAAATCGCTCAAATTGTGTGCAAAGTTTAACTCAAGCTAGCAGAAAACTGGTACAATTAAGCACAACCAGCATATTATTTGATTGTAATTATTTTCTCTTTCCAACGGTGCAAGATTTATTCTGATATTTGCAGTATTAATGAAGCTATTAATGGTTTTTCACACTATACTCGTTTTTCAAGTCAGAGGCGTAGAAATGCGTATATGCCATGTAAGGGGTTAATAAATTAAACAGGGAATTCAAAATTAAAGTTCAAAACTATGTTGCATATGTCGTATAAAAAATAGTAGAGCAGATAAGAAAATCAAGATGTTTTTCTTCTTTTTAAAATATCAAAGGAGGTGTTGAATTTCAAACAAAGATTTTCACAAAATTATCAAGAAATGCCAGAATAAAAAGCAAATAAGTGTAAGTTAAGATAGGTTTTGAAGTTGAAGTATTACCAATTTGTGAGAAACATTCAGTAAATGACATCACTTCTGATAGCCTGAAATCAAAGATTGCTTTAGATCGGGCAGATCCGAGAGATTAACGGTTCCCCCCAGCTAGACTGTGTACAGCTCAGTCAGATTTCTTGGTTTGTGTTGGCAGAGCTTCAGGAATATTGTGATAATATTAGCTCGACATCAGGGGGAAAATTGCCACAGGTCGAAGAGGTATACATTAATGTTCTATATCGGGCGCAGTTTTATACGTAAAAACAGATCTTGATTTAGGATGGATCGTGATCTCCAATAATTCTTTTTTTCAAAACAACATTTTCAATCCTGTAGACTTCAGTTTTAATAACTCGCAAGGGGAACAACTCTGCAAGCAAACTTTATTTTATCCATTTTTACCATTGCGTTATAAGATTTGCATTTAGTTATGATTTGTTAAGAAAATCATAAACTGGCCCTTCTTTATAGATAAAAAATTCACAGTGCAATATTGTGCAGGTTGTTTGAGCGTCAAAATTCTTGGGAAATATAGTTCTAATAGTTTGTAAAATTTAGGTACAAGAAAGATTTTTCAATACCCCAGGACTCTTAAAGGAATTTTTTAAACAGGTTGATTATCTGGAAGATGAGAGATGCCAGTGTAGACTGGTTGCATTGAAAATTCTGCCTTTTTTGATGGAGCATTGATAAGAGTTACATCCCTTGTCTATACCTATTATTTAGAGATTAGGGAAAAATTTTGAAGGCAGTATGTTAATTATGTTCATACAATAAAACTCGTTTAGTACGAACACGGATAATGCAAATTCACGGATATATTGAAGTTATTGTGGATCCCCAGGTATATAAATTTAACAAATTCTTTATTATGGATATAATGAATTACGGATATACCCGGTAGTGAAATATTTTCATATGTCCCAGTGACTTTGTTTTAACCAAGTTTTACTGTATTATGATGATTGATGAAGAATGTGAAATATTTGATAGAAAGAAATCTCAAATCTCTCTGAAAATTTGATGTGTTTTAGCATTATCTTTTGGAAAGATTATAGGCTTAAAGAAAAATTAAAATAAGATTTCCTTGAAGAGATCGAGTGTCACTGTTTTGACAAGACTAAGCAAAATTAATAATTCACAATTTCTGAAAGTTTTTCTTTCAATCTTAACAGAATAACATCTAGAGAAGTCGACATGTGTATGCCATTGTATGGCTTCCTTGTAATATTGTGACTAATTCATAGAACTTGGTTTCTATTTCAGTATTTTCCAATTACAGAAGGACTTGAGGGAAAAGAATGTGACTGCACGCTACTTGGCTTTTTTAAGTTCTTAATAAGGAGTGAAAGAAAACAGCAAACGGGGATGTGAAACATATTCCAGCCATTCTGAATGTGAACAACGGATTTATTTTGTGTTTGTGTTTGACATTGAACTCTCACATTTATCATCATGTCACCTTGTGAACTCTTGACCTTTTTACTGGTGGGCAGTGTTTGTCTTTCATCTTTAGTTGATGGTCAAAAGAAAAACAAACGTAAGTGTACTATATGATTTACTTTAAGAAAGCAACCTTTTTATATCTGCAGACGACAGGTTCCTCAAATATATGTTTTGTATTTCTTGGTATTATATAAAAAATATGCATATTTGTCATTCTCTTGTGATTTCTTAATGGTTTTCAAAACGTTTCTACAATATAGGTTTTACACCAAAATTTATGATTTAGAGAGATTTTCAGAAGATTGCCATAAGGGTTTTATAAATAATATGACCCTGTGATATCTTGTCCAGGAATTACTTTAAACTAGTTATTTGTTGAAACTTTTTTAAGATTAATTACTTGAAAATGACAAATTGTTGGTGAAAAAATTATATATTTTTGAGGAACATGTCATCTGACCATAAGAAAAGAAACCTTGTTACATCTGCAAACTGAAAACCCTGCATATGACCTAAAAAGAATTCAAGCAAATTCAAATTTCAGATTCTGTTTGTTAAGAAGGCATGAAAGCAATTTATGAAATAATAGGATTATGTTGCAGTGATTTATAATTATCATACTGGCCAAGGGCAGTCCTTTCCACTCTCTTATTAAAACATAAAACAGTAATTCATAATTATCATATTAAGACAAGGCAAATTTTTTGATGGGGTAATTTGTAAGTCTTTTTTTACCATGTTACCTTTTCTTTAACAGCCCCGAGATGGAAACCCAAGTCACGACCATTTAATGGAGACAACATCATCGCTAAGTCATCAGGGAGTGATATCAAACTTAGCTGTCCAGCATACGGGTACCCAAAACCAAAAATAACCTGGTACAAAGAAGAGAACTTGTTTGATGCCAGTCAGAGACCAAAGGTACTCATTTTAATATTACACTGACCTGTTACCAATACCAGGAGAGTTCATGAAGAATGAAGGATCTACTGTACACAGGGTTATTTTTCCTCATTTTATTTTCACCCTTTCACACTTGCAGACAATTTTGGCCCGTTTTAAATTCGCCCAGTCATACTTTTGTTTAAGAAATTATACTGTATTCTTTGAATTCATCCCTTTTTAAATTCACCCAAATAAGAGTATGGCGAAAGGGGCGAAAATAAAGCAGGATGAAATTTTCCATGTATACAGTATTTCGATAACCCTAGATAGAGATTATTATGTCAGGTCGAAAATTCTCTTCGAATTGTTATCATAATGGGTATTACATTCTTTGTGCACGTTATTTAATATGTATTTAACTAGGGCTGTATACCCGAAATACGGAACAATTAATTCGGGTCGTGTTCCGTTTTTCCGGAATTCGGTTCGGTTCCGATTTGTATAATAGAGTAGATTTTACTATAAAAATGGCGTCAAAAATGAGACATTTTTAGTACTTTGTCATTATAAGGTGATTTAAATAATTTGGTACAATTGTTGTCCAGTCAGGAGGCTACTTTAAACTAGTTATAATGTTGCTATTTCTAAGATTAAATGAAAATATTCTTTTTATTGTTGAAAATAATACAAATCATGAGCTTTTCTTCCATTACCTACCCGACCCGAGAAACCCGAAACCGAACCTTAAAAAATCAGAACCGACCCGACCCGAAAAATTTTGGAACCGTGACAGCCCTATATTTAACATAAAAGAATTAAATTATCATTGCATTTGTCATTTAATATTAAATTAAGGATTCACAAAGAATTATACATGCACAATTCTTCAGTACACTGAACTTAAGCAAGTACACACATTATGTTTTAGCTCACTTTATATTCACATTTAAGTATACTTGAACAGCTGTAAGGAGTTTTCTAACAGACCTAAAATATCCCTGTACAGAATTGAACTCTCGATGGTTACTAAGTAAAGATCCCTGGTACAAAAGATCCTGAAAAAAAAAAGTTGCCCTCACCAACTTGTGTACATTCATCTTGTTTATCCTAGGGTGATATTTAAATTCAGCAAGCTTTATAAATCTTGAGTGATTTAATTGTTGCATTTCTTGTTTTATCAACTACAACAACAAAATTTAGTAAATTTAGTTTAAACTTAATATGGCAAATGCAAAATTATTGCTGACTTCATGACTTAAGTACGGTGAATTTTTAAGGCATAAATAAAAAAAAATCCCATTATAGAGAATTTATGTATTACTAAAGAGAATTCGGTAACACATATGCTTTGACGTAGCTATTCCATCAACAACTTGAACTAGGAAGAAATGGAGAATAATTTGCCTGTAATTCAGAACATTTTATGACAAATATGAGGGTTGTCACGTAAAATCGTGGACAAGTTGTCTAGTGTAAAAAATAAACATCACAGCATTCTGAAATTTTCACTATTATTAAGTACATATTTTAGTAATATACACAGCAAGTTTCAGATAAATATATGCATAAATAAACAAATTATGTGATTTTATGCCATGTATTGTATCACCTTAAGGCGCATGGATTATAATGCAAAGTGTCTAAAACAGCTTCACGTTTTATCTTTGCTGAAAATGAAGTTGGATGAGTCCGACTTAAATTTAGGAATTTCATTGATACACATTCTTTAGTCTCCATAAACAGTTGAAGAACCAGTTGGCACCCTCATGCGATCTTCTGAAGATTTATCAGAAAGTTACGGACAATATTCTCACCATCATTCATTAATAGAAAATCTCATATCGGCGGTCTACTGTGACAGCGTCTTTTGCTATTACATTAGGAGTTTGTCCGTATGTTTTGTACTCCCCAGGGAGTCGATCACATAAGACTTCGCTAAGAAAACTCCTATTTCATTTGTATACTTAAGATATGGTGATATTTTTATAATCTTTTTTTCTTCTATGGTCATTTCAAATCTCTAAAGGTGTCATTACAACATCGAATTAAAACGGAACTGCTCTCCGGTGCGCCGCAACGTCATAAAACGTCGCCATTTTTTGTGTGTTGTGTTTACCACTTTCCCATTTCGAATGCTCGAGAAACTGCCAAAAATTAACCAAATGCCTTAAAATTTTTTTACAAAGACTACACAATTGATTGTGGAATTGAATTAGGATAATTTTAATCCAGATCTTATGTATTTAAAACTTTTATTTTGAATTCAGACTTGTGTATTCTTTAATAAAACCTTGGTTTTCTGTCCGTGCGCTGTAGGACAATACCCCGTGCACATTCAAGCATAATAAAATCTTTATTTTTGCCTATATTTTATCAAAAAAATTATCATACTGAAATTTTCAGCTTAGTGCGCCCTTTACTTTTTGAGAAAAACGTTTTGTCCAAGATTTTACGGGACAACCCTCGTACCAAACTATTAAATGCACTTTGAAAATTGCATTTCAACTTCCAAGAGAGGTGTTTAGCTGAAAATTCCTGGAATCTTTAATATTACTAACCACCTAATTTCCTCAGCTTTTTTTTTTCTCTGGTGAAATAAACATCTCATGACTAAGTAATTCCTTTTATTTATATTACCCAACAGATCCAAGACTTAGAGTCTTTGAAGACATAGATGAGAGAGCTCATCTCTTGGCATTGATTAAATAACTGCAGGGGAGGTGTTAGTGTTTTGCATTCAAATCCTCATTGGCATTGATTAAATGACATCTGGGGAGGTGTTAGTATTTCACATACTAATCCTGCATTGTTCTTAAAAAGTTATCACCTGGAGTATGTGGGAGTGCAAGTTTAAGATGTAAAAAAAAAAAAAAAACACAGTGCAAAATAAAAATAAAAAAAGAATTTAAAGAGTGAAGTTTAATGTTGTTACTGATGAAATGTTGCATTATAAACTCCTTCAAATGATTTCTGGGTGCACCTGCAGAATATAAATGATTTTAAATTGATCTGCCTTCAAGATTACATTCAACTTTATTTTTCATGCATCATGTGAAGTTTAAAGTTATGTAACAGCTTATTTTCATATAACTTCTGGAACAAATTTCTTTGATCATGTTGATATAGAAGATATAGTCTTGCAATCCTCAAGCTGATTGAAGACTGCTAATTCCAACAAGCCTGTGAGGTATGTTGAAAACTAAGTAGTATAAATTCTAAATTGTTCAAATCATGGAACACAAGGGTAGGGTTGGGCCACCGTGAGATGGGAATCCAATTTTGCCTTGAAACATATAGGAAAGATCTTTAAAAAGCTTGTCAAGAACCCCTTGGTTAGAGATTAAGCTGAAAGAAATGTGGAAGCACCTTGATTTAGTGTAGATTCTAAATTATTCAAAACATGACCTCCAGAGGTAGGTTGGGCCCACAGTAAGTATGACAAGGAAGAAAATCTGGTAAAGAACAGTTGGGCCAAAGTTAATCAGGTGAGCATTGTGGCCCATGGACTGGACCTCTTGTTGATATGACCAAGAGATCTTTAGTTTGGAATTTGATTAAGCTATTAATTCCTCAGTTTGTGTTTTTTATGCCTCCCTTCGAAGAAGGAAGAGCATATTGCTTTGCTGCTGTCTGTCGGTCGGTCTGTACCATTTTGGACAGAGTAAATGCCCCTTGGACTTAGAAAATTTCAAATTATTTGCAGTTTCCATTCATTTTCTTTGCAGAGGTTGCACATATTGGAATGAATTCTGGTATACAGATTTATCATAAGAATATCTAGGTCAAGTTCTGTTTTGGGTACAATTGGGCCATTTCGGACAGAGTTATTCCCCTTCAACTTAGAAAAATTCCAATTATTTGGGGGGGGGCATAAGTGTTTTACAAACATCTCTTAATTGTTTTAACCTGTATTATTACATGAAATGACATGCAGTAGCTTATAAAGTTTAAAAAACTGTTTTTTGTTTTTCATTTGGGAGGGGTGAATTTTATTCATACACAATGCATTATCTTTAACAAATATTGTACACATTACAGTATTGTTCAATATTCATGATGTATAATTTCAGACAAGGGCCAGGCACTTTGCCTTGAGTCTTAATGATGTACAGACATCAGACAGTGGGAAATACAAATGTGTGGTCCAAAATTCACTAGGCAGCCTAGAATTTACATTCATTGTAGATGTTATACGTAAGTAAATATTTATTTTCATTCAATTTATTAAGAAATACTTGTCCATAACAGAAAACAAATCAAAAGAATATCAAGAAGACTTGGAATTTTCTTCCATCTCTGAGGATTTTGAAAGTCACTGTTTATTCTGCTCCTGCCTGATGTTCCAAATGATCTGTTGACCTTCATTGTTATTCTTTATCTCCATATTTTAATTCAACAATAAAATCAGATTTCTGTGAACCTCAAACTTTGAAATTTTGACATCTATACAACTTTACAGTTCTCCATTGTTTTTACAATTAGGAACCTCATGGCCACTAGAGTTAGAGGAGCCGCAGAATGCCACGGTAATGGAGGGAGAGAGGGTGGTGTTCCGATGCCGTGCCTTGAATGACCCAGACGCCACCACCCAGTGGATAAAGAGGGACACTGACGTTGGGGACGCAGGTGGTTCCAATAAAGATGTAAGTGTGCACCACATTTTTCCAACCAATAAAATAATTCAGATCCAAAAGGATAAAATTTATGCATTACTTGTGTGTGACAAATAGGTTTCAGATTTTAATCAGGTCATAATATCTGTATACTTTTTGAGTAAGTCATATTTTCCAATTTGTGGCATCCGTACATTAGTAAAAGAAATTTTGAGGGGATGTAAAACAACCAACCAATGAACATGTACTAGTAATGTCCGTTACTAAAAGTGTGACTTAATTTAGAAATAATTTTATATGTGTTGTTTCAGTTTCTTCCAAGTAATGGACCAGAAATAGTCATAGAGAACGCAAGACCAGTAGATGCAGGAAAATACACTTGTATGGTGGGCAATTATATCGGAATAAAGTCAGTTGATGTGTGGTTAACAGTGAGACAAACCACCACCACGACAACGACGACAACCACCACGAAACCACCTACCACCACCACCACTACAACCACCACTACCACTCAAACCACCACCACCACCACTGAAAGACCAACCACTACCACCACAACCATGGCACCGCTACCAACTACCACTGTGAAAACATTCCCTTACCAACCAGACACTACGGACGATGAAGATCTGGAGGGTAATGTATTGTTCACTTTGATTCTGTTAAGGATACACCAAAGGTTTCCAAAGGGCAAAATTTAATTTGCTTGTAATTCTTTCATTATCAAAGATAACATATTAAAAGTATATATCATTTGAAAGCTTGTTAAATGTACTATTTAATGATTCTAATATAAACTTTCATTTTTATCTTATTAACAAATTATTGATATTTTAACGTAGATATTAGTGCATTTATATTTTATAAATCAACTTTTTTGTATTCCACCTTTCAAAGTCAAAATTTTGCCTCAATGTAGATTAAAGATTGAACTTTAAAACTGTATCTCAGATTTTTGATAAATCTTCTTATTCAAAAGTTACATCCATTTGTCTTTCAATGTTACTGATTTATTAGCCAAATTCTACATTTCCCCCAATAAATCGAGAACTGAGCAAGATATAAAAAATCTGAGATATGGTTTTGTGAACACACATTTGAGACACATTCTGGCCAGTTTTCAGAGAAATTGGTCAATAAATGAGGGAGCTGAATCCTTTGAAATAATACCATCAATTGTCTGATCTTACCTTACAGTAGAGGGCAAAAACCCATTACACAACAAAGTCTGCCAAAACTAGAAATATATGACACCTTGGAGATTCAGCTTTGGATACCTGTCACTTATCCATATTCCCTATGCATATTCACAAGAATGGGATGTTCTGTTCTTTATTAAGGTGCTTTTAATGAAGTAAAATAGGTTCAATTCTGAATCAGAAAGATTTCCCGGCAAAATGGCAAAAGCTAAGCCCCACCTCCTATTTCACGACCTGTGACCTGTTAGATCTCCTTCCCTAAATTTAGAGTCCCTGTAGTTTAATTACTGATAACCATTGTGTGGCTAGTGAAGAATTCCCCAAGTGGTCACAGTGATTTATTGCTCCTTTCAGAAGCAGGCAGTTACAGACCAAATCAGAAGCTTCAATAATGGCACATTCACATGTGTTAGTGTTTATATTTGATTATTGTTAAATAATTAGAAAACCATTTAATAATCAGGAAGAATTTTTCATGCATCATAAAGCAGTCATTAGCATTGTTTTCTTAGCCAAAAATCTCAAAATTGTCAAAAATCTTGAAAAAAGCCTTTGATGTATCCTTAATTGCAAGATGTTCTTAAAGTAGTGTAAGATACATGACATTCTTCTAGCTTGGGCTAGTGGGTTAACCCCTTAGCTCAATTACATGGCATCCTGCTAGCTTGGGCTAGTAGGTTAACCTTTTAGCTTAATTGGTAGAGTACTGGACTGGCAAGCCAGAGCCACTGGATCAATCCCCAGCAGAGGCACAAAATTGTCTCTGTTTACATTTGGCGCTCACTTTGGGACCCAGGTTTTCTTTGACAGATGAGAGTGATTGACCATAAAACTTCACCTCAGAAGTGTCAGCACTCCTTTTTAGCTCACCTGAGCCGAAGGCTCAAGTGAGCTTTTCTGATCACATTTTGTCCGTTGTCCGTCCGTCCGTCCATCTAGCTGTCCGTCTGTCTGTAAACTTTTCACATTTTCGACTTCTTCTCAATAACCACTGGACCAATTTTGACCAAACTTGGTACAAAGCATCCTTGGGTGAAGGGGAATTTAAATTGATAAAATAAAGGGCCAAGTCCTCTCACAAGGGGAGATAATCAAGAAAAGACAAATACAGGATTGGGTCATTAAAAAATCTTCTTCTCAAGAACCACTGGGTCAGAAAAGCTGAAACTTATGTGGAAGCATCCTAGGGTAGTGTAGATTTTAAATTGTTCAAATCATGACCCCTGGGGGAAGGATGGGGCCACAATGGGGAATCAAAGTTTTACATAGAAATATAAAGGAAAAATCTTTGAAAATCTTCTTCTCAAGAACCACTGTTCCAGAAAAGCTGAAACTGAATAAGAAATAAAGGGTGGGGCCACAATGGGGAATCAAAGTTTTACATAGAAATATATAGGAAAAATCTTTGAAAATCTTCTTGTCAAGAACCACTGGGCCAGAAAAGAAACTTAAGTGGAACTGAAACTGAATTGGAAGCATCACTGGTATAGTGTAGATTCTAAATTGTTCAAATCATCATGACGGGGCCACAATGGGGAATCAAAGTTTTACATAGAAATATATAGGAAAAATCTTTGAAAATCTTCTTCTCAAGAACCACTGGGCCAGAAAAGCTGAAACTTATGGAAGGGAAGATTCTAAATTGTTTTGACCCCCGGGGGAAGGGCGGGGCCACAATGGGGAATCAAAGTTTTACAAATATATAGGAAAAATCTCTGAAAATCTTCTCAAGAACCACTGGGCCAGAAAAGCTGAAACTTATGTGGAAGCATCTTGGTATAGTGTAGATTCTAAATTGTTCAAATCATGATCCCCGGGGGAAGGGTGGGGCCACAATGGGGAATCAAAGTTTTATATCGAAATATATAGGAAAAATCTCTGAAAATCTTCTTCTCAAGAACCACTGGGCCAGAGAAGCTGAAACTATGTGCACATGGAAGGATCCTGGGGTAGTGTAGATTTCGAAATGTCTAAATTATGATCAGTTGGGTAGGGTCGGGATGCATTATGTATTACAAGGGGGAAATCTGGTAAAAAACAGAATGGCAAAACTGCTCAGGTGAGTGATGTGGCCCATGGGCCTCTTGTTTTAATTCTTGCTAAGTGCACTTCATATAATTTATTTAAATTTCATTTTTAATTCAATTTCTTAATGTGTTCTGAGTCCAGTGTCTGAGTAGACATGTTCTATCTTTTCTACAAGGAGGAAGTGGAAATGATATGGAAAAGGAGAAGAAGAAAAAGAAAAAGAAGAAGAAGAACAAAAAGAAGAAGAAGAAAAACAGGAAGAAGAAGAAGAAGGAACGGCAGAGGGAGCGAGAACGCAAGCAGCAACAGCGGGAAAAGAAACGCAAGGAGGAGCTAGATCGCATGAACAAAGAGGGGAAAATGGAGGATAATAGAGATAAAGGCAGCTTCCATGATGTCGACATGAACAAAGATTTCAATATGAATAAGGATTTCAACATAAACAATTTCAACAACCCTGACATCTTTAACAACCAAGGTCAGGCTTATTTGTTTGCTCTGGGAACTAATGTATACCGGGTTATTTTCGCCCTTTCATACTTGGAAACAATTTTGCCCTGTTTTATATTGGCCCAGTTAAAATTCTGTTTAATAAATCATGCTGTGTATTTTTAATTCGTCCCGTTTTAAAGTCGCCCACCTGTGAGTAGGGCGAAAGGGACGAAAATAATACTGGGAAGAAAATTTTCCTGTATACAGTATTATTATAAATGTTGACCTAAATAATATGTTTGATTTTGTCATCATTGGGGTGAATGCAGTTTTATACCCTCAGAAACCATTATATTGCTTTTACTTCATCGTTGGAAACCCACGGGTGATCTCATCTTTACTTATCACCCGTGGGCAAACTCGACGAAAATCGTCAAGGTAATTAAAAAATATGCATGGGTCATTCGATTGGCTGCATCACAGAGTCGCGATGCGAAACAACGAATCACAGTTCACCTTAGGTATGCATGTTCGGCATTGCCAAAAACATGAAAAACTCATTCCGTAGTTAACACAGCTGATAAATCCACTCACCGGTGCATTTTGCAGTTAGAAAGAGGTACTCCTTCATAATATCTGACGGATATTAATGTCAGTGACCTGTACGAATTGACTTTTATTGTTTTAAATCAAACTTCGCACGTTTTAACGATCGTCAAAATATTTACCATAAATAGCAAAGTAATAAATGTATTTTTCAAAATTGAAGAGTTCCAACTTTCTGATTGGTTGACTAAAAACAACAAATTAGCATATTTTTCGGCGATATTTCAGCTAGTTTGCCCATGGGTGATAAATAAAGACGAGATCACCCGTGGGTTTCCGACGATGCTTATACAGGTGACTCTCGATGGCTCGAACTTTGATCTCTCGAAGTTCTCGATCTCTCGAAGTGAACCTCTGGTCCCGTTTTTTTCCCTCTATATAACTAAGCAAATTTACTCCTGATCTCTATATCTTCGAAGTTCTCTATCTCTCGAACCAAAACCTGGGTCCCGTTACACATATTTCATTGAATTTTACTCTCTATCTCTCGAAGTTTTGATTGCGCGTGTATACACACCGATCAAGCATATATTTGAGCCTGGAACTTACCTGGAAAAACAGTGAACGCCTGGGGCTGGCATGGAGGTGTTAATTGGGTGTTTACATAGATGACACTACATCTGAGGGTCGTCGGTGTGTTAATATAATTAATTGATTATTACTGGTAAATTATAAACGATTTCACAACTTATTTTGACTTGAAACCGAGACGATAATAGACAATAAATTTATAGACGTTCGTTTCAACAAGTTCCAATAGACTAAGAACTTTTATTAGAGTCTACATAATCCCAGTATGGCAAATATTGCACAAGAGATTCCTTTCTCAAGGACTGAATACCGATTAAGAAAAATCTGGTGAACACTGGTGAAGGACCCGATCAAGTCGCGGAATAGCCAAACCGACAATTGCTATCCGGGTTTCATGTTATCATGAAATAAGAACAAATAAATATTGAAACTTCAGGAATTCGTTGTATTTATTCAAAATACGATCATTGTTGTTGATATCAAGCATTCAAATTTGGCAGCAAATGAAATCAATGTTTTTAAAACATTCTGTCAAAAATGATGAAACAACTTTTATAACATCTACAATATCCTCTGTATCCTCGCATTTTATTTCTGGTTTGAAACAAAAAATGATTGCACTGTAAGCAAATTAATGATATATTTATCAGCAAGTCCTACTCCACGACAACTATTTACTTTCTAATATTTCCCATTTTTTGGCTATAGGTGGGTTTGAGCCACCAATTTTCCCTTTCCTGTCTACAACTCCACCATCAGATGATGACGATATTTACTCAAACTCTGGTAACCCTGACAGCGACAGACTGCCCATCAACAGGGACACGTTTCAGGATTTCCCCGCGGGGACCCAGCAACACGCTGAGGAAGAGGAAGGAATGAGTGCGTGGACGATTTACATAATCGTGGGTCTCGTGGCAGGCGGGGTTCTACTGGTGGGGCTCGTGGCGATCGTGGTGGCTCTTTGTTGTAATCGAATCGAGGACCGCAACGGATACAAACACACCTCAGTGTGAGCAGGGATTGAGGCCCTCTGTGGGGACAATGACAAAATAATTTGTTATTTACATTTATAAATAACGACCTTCGTGTGCAACAAGATAGCAAATTGTGAGATGGTTTTTACTCAGCTTAACAGTGAAGAGACACTGAAATGGAGGGCAGCATTAAATCTTGAAGATAAATTGATACTATTTGGTTGCTATGTCCTTTAAAACTGAATAAAAAAGTTTTTTTTTGTGAATATGAATAAAAACTTTGAAAAGATGTTTATAGTATGAACACTGCCACAACGAAACACTTTTTCAACCAACATGTATGTATAATTTACTATGTAATGCATCATTTTGATTGTCAGATTTAGTATTTATATGTGTTTTTGAAAAGGTCATTGTTCATTTTTTTGTCTTTTATTGTATAATTTACTTGGTGCATGTTTACAGTCTGGTCAGTGTGCAATAATGGGTTGATATTATTAATTTCTTGTCTTGAAGCAGTTCTGTTTTATTATTGTAGTATCATATATATGTTTCATATGTTTCTTTACATTGGGTAGCATTACTCACAATGAACTAGTATGAATGTTAAATCTAATATTGTATATATTTTCTGCCCTTTTTAGATGGACTTTCCTCTATCGAGTTGATAGTATTGAATTTTTTTTTCATTCTTATAAACACATTTTATGTAAAATGTTTTTTTTAATCATAAGTCACTGGTATACATGTACCAACATTATATGTGTGTTTTATACATTTGACCAGTTATGGTATAACTTATTGGTGCTATGTATTATGTCATTTATAAATATGCAGGCAATTGCTTTAAATTTGAGTATTTTTCTTTGTAATACTCCTGCGAGTGTTTTTTTTTAAAATTATCTTTGTCTCAAGGTTAAGTCTTATACCCCTCAAAGTACTAGCTCAAAAAATCGGGCCCCATTTGTATGAAAATTCAAATTAAGTTTGTCTTGAAACATATTTTCATATCTGTCTCTTAATATAATATTTTTGTGCATATAAACTATATATAACCCTCATTTTAACATGCAGTACATGTAAGTTAGAATACTCATTATACATGTATTGTACATATACATGTACACCCATCATAGATGTAATATTGGGATTTGATCCTTTAGAAAGCCAATATTTTTCATCTACATAACAAAGAGGTTGGTCAATTTTTTTTATCTTTACAGGGAAAATGTATGGCAAACTGGGTTTATTGTGCTTGTTTATCACAATATATACCCATAATCATCAAGAAATTACAGATTCTAAATTTCATTTTTACCATTCAAAGTATAAACAAGTCTACAATGACCATTTATTAAACATCTTATATGGATATGCCTCTCCTTGTTACTATCAGACAATTTTTCTGTAAGGAATATTTTAACACAGATGAAACAAAATCAAATATCAGTAAAATTAATTTATCATGTGTAAAGGTACAAAATTTTAATTCAAAGCATTATTGAAGTTGAAAATTTTTATAGAAAAAACTGAGTTATCTCAGTTTACAGGGACCTTTTGTCCTTGAGAATATTAAATATGAAAATAAAAGAGAAAATCTGTGAACTAAAGAGATGTATCAGATGTAGTTTGAATAGTTCAGAAATCCGCTGTTGCCTTATGAGATTTTACAAACATTTGATATTAAAATATATAATTATACTCACTTTAATCACTTGTATCGGGTCAAAAAAGTTTTACTGTGGCATTAGTGTGTTCAGTATTCATGTTGAATATAGTACACTGTACTGTATTTATTTTATAGATCAGAAATGAGATCATCCTTTGTTAGTTCTTAATAACAATAAAGTATTCATTTATATGTAGCTATTATTTTTTCATTCATCCCTTTACTTGTGGAAGGCTAGCTAATAAATGGTACATGTGTAGACATTAATTCGAGAAAAGAAATTATATGACCAAAAGTTTGAAAACAAAGGATCATAGAAGACAACAGTGTACACATAACCATGAAGAATTCCATTCAAAAATGTTACTATTAGCTGTTTGTGCCAACAACCCTATTTTGAAATTCTAAGATTCCAGATTTTGTTTTAGTGAATAAAGTTTTAAAAATACCAAGAATTATTTAATATAAGGAGATGAGAGAACTTACCATGCAGGAAGCCCATAGCTTCAGATATTAACAAACCATATTCAAATTGTGAATTTAGTATTTTAGATTAAGTTTTCATTTTTGAATTTTATGAAATCCTGAAAAACATAGCTTTTCTGAGAAAAAAAATTCTAGGCAACTTTTGTTTAAAAATAATGTAGTATTCATGGGGTTCAAACTCTCACAATAAGAACCCTGAGTAGCATTTTCTGTCAACTAGCATGCTTACCACTGGGCTTCCCAAGTGCTGATGAATAGCAGCATTTTAATCATGCTTGTGATATGACCCTTAACTTAATGGACTTCAAGTTTTCTCAAAATGATGCGAATGTTATATCATAAAAGTATATTTTTAAGGTATTATGGGTCTTTGCTCCATAATTTTGGTAACCAAATATATATTTATACTTAAAGGATTTACTCTCCCCCCCCCCCCCAAAAAAAAAGAATGAGACCCACTCATATCGAAAAATAGTGCTACAGTGTGAGAAAATGACTTTTTGCCCTAAGTAGTGCATGTATACTGTTTCAAAGGCATATAATTACAATCTTAAGCTTGTGAAACTTTTGCAAATTGTAAAGATTTTACATAAAGTTATACTTTAATGAGAAAAGGAAAAAAAAAATGAGATTAAATTTTTCACCCTCATGTTTGTCAATTGTCAAGCTATAGGCTTTTGCTCGTCATGTTTACCCATCTCCTTTGAACCATGCATTAAATAATGGAAATGATGATCATACTGATAAATGTTTATCAAGATGAACATATGTTTAACTTCTTTATCTTCAATTCTTTTTACATTAGCAAAAGTTGAACTTTTTTAGTGTTTTTAGATGACCTTTTGCTATCTTGCTATCTGTTACTATCTGTTCTTGTCCATCAATGTGCGTCCTCCATCTTGTGTTTAAATTTAATCATTTTCAGCTTCTTCTATGAAACCACTGAACCAACTTAAACCAATTTTGGCATATGGCATCTATGGGTGAAGCAAGTATAAATTGTGAAATTCCTGGCCCCTGCCCCCTGGAGCCTTTGGGATGGGGCCAAAATATTCAAAATAAAGTTAAAAGTCTTTAACAATTTTCTTCTTTATTCCCTTTAAATGCAGCAGCCAAACTGTTGACATTGTTGTAATAAGCATTAAGCCCTGTTGCAACCACTATTGAAATATTGACAACTATTGAAATAATTATTTCAATAGTGGTTGAGAGAGTATTTCAATAACAAACATACATTGCATATTTGAACTTTTAAACTTCTGAACTTTGAAATAAAGTTTTCAATAGTGATTATTAAGACCACGGAACATTAACTGCCAAAATTGGAAATAAACAGCTTACGTCATTTCTATCTGTTACAATCAAACCATTCAGTGATAGACAATGAAATGGGCGGGTACAATTCGACGCGGACGTGGGGAAAAATCGGATTGAAATTGCAGATCGAAATTTATTTTCAATCCACCTGAGCTGTTTTCAAAGCAAAGAGTGAATGTATGATCTAAAAATCAACTAATTTCAACTCCCAAATACATATTGTTTCAAGTTCACATTAATTGAGTTTTAGCTTATAATTTTAAGAACGCGAAAGATCATAAAAGACAAAGATTATTTTTCAGGAGATATTTGATTCTAGAAGGGGGGGGGGTAAAAATTGTCGAGTCAGGTCATGGCTTAACATGACAATATATTTTATTTCTAGAATTATAAGAGTGCATGAGTTTTATACTTATTCTCACTGAAAACTGTTGGACAACTTTATTTAAAAATCGTTCAGCCCCCCCCCCCCCCCCCCCCAACACAAACATATACATATATTTGCCAAACAGAAATGAAATATTTTCCCTTAAATATTAAGTTATTTAAAACACTGACAAAGAAAATCAAACTGTAACAAAATTGAAAATATTAAATTTTGTCTTATGGGTCAATCAGTAATAATGTGCTTTCTAGCGTAACTGAGGTGGATTGAAAATGAATTTCGATCAGCAATTTCAATCCGATTTTTCCCCACGTCCGCGTCGAATTGTACCCGCCCATTTCATTGTCTATCACTGAATGTTTTGATTGTATTAGATAGAAATGACGTAACCTGTATATTTCCAATTTTGCCAGTTAATGTTCCGCGGTCTTAATAAATAGTAGTCGTATAATTATTTCAATAGTGGTCGTATTTCAATAGTGGTTGCAACCTATGTTTGTTATTGAAATACTCTCTCAACCACTATTGAAATAATTATTTCAAAAGTGGTTGTTATTCCTATAGTGGTTGCAACAAAGCCCTTTACCTAGTGAAATTAATGGCCTCAGGGTCAGGGGTTCTGTTCTAGAGAGGCGCTCTGTCGAATATATAGTGAAAATGCATTATATTTTAATAGATATTCTCCTCTGCTGCAGGGTATTAAGCAAACAAACTAAATGCATAGTTATGAAGCGCAAAATTGCCACCCCTGGAGACGCTGGAATATACACGTGTATGGTGGGGAATATAATGGGGCTGAAGTCAGTTAACGTATGGCTAAAAGTTAGATCCGCCACCACTATATCATCATCAACCACTGAAAACACCACCACCGCCCAAAAACCACCATCCAACACCAACACAACGGAACATCCAACTACCAGAGATACCCAGATACCATTCTCATTTTCAACAGGTATCCTAAAATATTTTGATGGTTATGTACTATTCACTATTATGGTTCTAGTAATATGTTTCTTATGTTTCTCTCGTCTTGCGTGTCAGTCTATAATGATATTAATATGCTTCAGCATTAGGTTTCTTATCTACTCCTCACATTTAATTTTTATTGTTATCTTAGGAATGAACAATTTCTTTTATTTTTGTATTTTAATTGTTGTGTAAATTACTACTAAGAACTGCACATGTGTTCATGTATACACATATATTTCAATTTATAACTGTAAACTTTACTCTACAATTATATCGTAACACGTTTAAGTATTTGAAAAAAGGACACTGTTTTCCTCCTTGCAGACAAGGACCCGAACAGCAGCAGACAAAGTCTCCTTAACACCAAGGCTGAAAATGTTCAACTGCAGAAAAAGACGGTGGACATTGTAGAAGAATTACTTAGCATACAAAAACAGAAATTGAAACTTTTGCAAAAATCACTTACATCCTAATCCAAACTGTATATTCATATCCTTCTATGACCATATTTTAATCTTTAATTTTTGTTGTTTTCATTATATAAACCTCGAATCTGTAGGTTGATAAATATTTTGACATTCAAAATTTACTAATTATGACTATAATATACCACAAAAGCTAGACTGTACTCCGTGCCATTTGATATACATGTAGCAAAAATTAATTAAACAACTATTCTTTACGAAAGCCCAGAAGGCTCATTTTGAGATTCGTCACAATGAGACTCAAAAAATACGAGATTTCGAAATTCGACCTTTTTCGAGATTCAAGATCCAAATTAACCAATCAAAAGGCAGGTTCAACTTTGATTACTCCCCTTTATTATGTTTTACTATCAAGAAATAGTTGAATATATTCATATCAAATGGGTTATTTGCTTAAATGATAATATATATATATATATATATGTATTAAAATATATAAAAATATAATTTTATATACATTTTAGAAAATATATATAAATTCTTATTTTTCCTCATTAAACAAAACAAGGGGAGTAATTGAATCTCAAACCGCCTTTTGATTGGTTATTTTGGATCTTGAATCTCGGAACTCGAATTTCGAATCTCGAAATTCGAATCTCGTATTTCGAATCTCGAATGTGCCTTCTGGGCTTTTGTAATTCTTTTTTATAGTTTAAAGTATGTTAGTATATAAATATTAGAAATACTGTTGCTGCTGTTGCAGAAAAAATACATGTACATAAGTTGCAGTGGGTTATGTTGTTTTTGCAGTTACTGCAACGTTAATTACCGTTCTAATAAAGACATTTTACTGTTTATATTTATGTCAGTATAAACAATCATGCATGTGGAATTATTGAAATACAAACATCAATATCTGGTATTTGATTCGTTTTGCATGACAGTTAACACTGAACATACATTCTATTGGTATTACTAATTTCATTTTCATAACAATGTTCTCACAAGAGGGGTAATCACGCCCTGTCTTCACTTTTATCTAAAATAAAAACATTTTGTCTTTGTACGTCTATTGATTGATTGTATGTATGTTGTTTAACGTCCCTCTCGAGTATATTTCACTCATATGGAGACGCCACCACATATTAAACCCCTCTGTGACGTCCTCATAACTTGGTCGGAAAATATGATTTAAAAAAAGGCTAGAAAATCCCGAGACTTTGGAAATAATGTGTTCCTTGACATGAGGTCAAGTTTTTTGAAAGGTTTTCTTTGACAAAGCTTCCCTTTTGCCTAAATTAACCTTTTATCTATGATTTTTTTTCAAGTTTTCCTTATTTCAAATTACAAGAAAGCAGGAGACATAAGGAAGCACTCTTAATTTGTTTCAATCTTTAATACCAACTCAGGAGCAGAACAAAACATTTGTATTCAGAAAAAAGTTTATTCGTAGATATTGTGAGATTCATATTCTATATCATGTCACTTTTTCAACGTTTGCTGATATTTGTACTGATGAGTAACGTTTGTCTTGCTGCAGTAGAGGGTGATCAAAATATAATGAAATGTAAGTAATGTGAAATGTTTGAAAGTGGAATTTTTTCGTGCAGGTGCACTTCAAAGTGTTTGCCTAAATTGCGCATAAAATTTTATTTTAGTTTTGTATTAGACAGTTTGTTTAAAATTTAATTAAATTTAAACAGCCAAATGTTATGTTTTATCAATGAAAACCATAAATCCATGGTTTTACGTCGAATATATCGTATTTAACTTAAACTTCGGGTTTGGTCCACCATTTATTTACTGGTGAAATTTTCGCTCCATTTTATTTTTACCACTTTCGCCCCTCTCATAGGGGGAAGAATTTCAAACGAAGGGAATTAAAAAGCACTATATCATTTGTTACACAAAACTGTTTGGCGAATTTTAAACGGGACAAAATTCTTTACAAGTATGAAAGGGCGAAAATAACCATGAATACAGTACTTTTTGTTCCTCTTTGAGAAGGGCTAACTAATATACCGACTATTGAACAGCTGAGTTAACGACGAAGAAACTGATTTTTTGCAATGTGTACATCATGGATTATTCCAGAGAAAGAGTGATCAAAGAAATATTGCATGTATTATCTACAAAAAGACATGGAAATATAAAAATACAGAGGTATGGTATGGAAAATGCACCGTAGATCCGACAAAGTTTTGTGATCAATCGACTGATTCATTAAGTGTATGTTTACGTGTCTTTTATTGTGAATTCTGCACCAATATAAAACGGTACCATACACCAGTAATGGGCTTCAAATCAGAATTTTGAAACTTTACACATACTAGACATTCAGGGCTTGAACAATGAGGATCCTTCATCGTGCCAACGCCATTAACTTGACAAGGACATCAATTTTTAAAGTCTTATTCAGAAGACCTGTAACTTTGGCCTATAGCGACGCTCGCTTAAATTACCCGGTAATCACTACCTACGTTTACGTCTTAGGTTTTTCGCTACTGTGGCGCAGTGGTAACAGCGTCTGCCTCTAGACCAGCCCAGAGCTGATCCTTAACGTCGCGGGTTCGAATCTGACCTGAGTGAAGAGTAGAAGCATAAAATTTTGCAGCTTTCCCCCGGCAAGTGGTGGGGTCTCCATATGAGTGAACAATTAAACAAAACATCTAAGGTTTGTCAGGGCGCGGCGAATGATACCTCGGCTTAGATCATTGGATCTCATATTTAATGCCCCTTTAATGTCCCTTTACGTGCTGAATAATTCTTGGAGATTTGTAGCTGTGGGAGAAGAAAGGATTGTCACCCTTTGTCTCGTTTGAATGACTTTAGTGCCAATACATAGTAGAGGAGGGAAAAGATGGACAATAGCATTGGGGCTGCTATAACATGCCGGGTATCGCAGTGATGTAAGTGTTTTACCCAATTCTCTTAATTATTTAATTCTGTTTTTTTATCCTTGTATTTTAAAACGGGTGTAATATAAATCTCAAATTGCTTTTATTCACTTTTTTTTTTATAAAATAGATCATAAGTGTGAGGAAAAAATTCTTTGGTGTAATATGTGTAATGAGCTACCAACTATACCCAATATTAAATCTTTTATATATTAATATAATTGGTACATTTTGTTCATTTGACATTTTATACGATGCATTTTTGTTTGACAATTTCTATTGATCTTTTAATTGACCCAGAAGGAAGAAAACAGTTACAACATAGTCTTAAATTGAAGTTTGTTGTCTCGATGACAATACCAAGAATCAGTTCCGTATCATTACCTTCAGGACCGAAACCAGCATATCGATAAAAATACTACAATTCAAAGCCTACAAAGTTCAGCATGCAAGAAACCCGAGAGTCATTCCTGTGAATCACAAAAAATAAAAGATTAAGAAAAAGTGGGTAATGAACTCTGCATCATTTGAATATAATTTGTTTTTAATTCTGCGAAAATTATTTAAAATAAATACATTTACTAAAATGGTAAATTGAATATATGTCTTCAATTACAGTACTAGATTTTTTTCAGGTATGGTCAAACTCTATGATCATTTTAGAGGAGTAGAAGAGGAAGTGGAGAAGGTAAAAAGATCAAACTATAAATATAATAAAGGTGTGATTCCTTCAGGTCTAAACAAAAAGTATGGCTATTACTAATCTGTTATAATAAAATGGCAATTTGTAAAATAGAATAAGAAAATATATTACTGTGGCCCTTACACTCATTTGTTGACTTTTGCTTGCTAGTAAGTCCAGGTTTATTCTCGCTTTTGATGTAGCAAAGTTTTCATATAATATATTGTTTTAAATACTGGTATATCTTCAAATTACTGGCATTTATAAATAACTTTCATTTTTTACATAGCTCTGGTTTGTGTAATTTCGGGCATTCAATAGGAAACAAAAATAGATGAATAAATAAAGGAATATATGCAGATTTTATTTCCACAGAAACCTCTTAACAGCATCAATTTAGATTCCAACCAGTAAATGTTGTTCTGAAGTTGTTATCCCGAAAGTTCATTACGTATGTTGTACACGTTGCTGCAGCTCGAATATACACACTATCAGACGTGTTAAGTGGCACCACCATTGTTCCGGTATCCGAATCAAAGTCAGCGGCTTCATCCGTCTCACCTAAGGTATAATTGACCTCGTCATTGTTGACGTAGACTCTGTATTTAGTTTTCCCTCTATCTCCAGTGTAGATGGTCCAAATGAAAACATATACCCCTGAAGTTGGAGCTGAAAACACGCCGCTGTATTTGTTGTATCCTCCACCCAAATTTGTTTTACTATATCAAACACTAAGGTGTGGTGGATGCTTGGATTTGGTATTGGATGAGAAAGGTAGGTATAGAATGCAATAATGTTACTGGTAGATCTGGTGTTTCTAACTTTCGCATTAGAGATCGACAAATTTTCCAGTTGTTCTGAAAAAAAAATTGAAAGGTTGTAAAAGTTTTCAAACTGTTTATTAGTTACCAACCAGTTTGTGTAAAAGATTTTTCAAAAGAATTAGAAATTATCATACTTCTGTCTGTCACTATTTTTGTTACTTTTATATGAATATATATGGTGAATAAAAATGGAACAAACAAAAGCCAACATGACAACAATCCTTGAATTTTTCCGTAGAAGCCCCATGCAACTGCAAAGTGCAAAGGATGTCTAATGTTTTAGAAGTCCTTGTTTTCTCTGCTCCAAAAAATTGAGCTTGAATACTAGCTGTTCGTTATTTGCTTTTATTTCATTCAATATCTTTTTCAATATGGATTGACGTACAATTCAATTGCAAAATTGTCTCTGCTGTGATATTTCAGAAATGTTTTCTACAACTCAAAATGAAGACTTACTTTCTTCAAGGCTCCTCTCTTCATCTCCTCCATCTACGATTTTCTGATTCATAAAACCGTCCTTAACGCTTTGAACTTTACATGACTTCATCATACATTTAGTCATGTCAGCGCGTAAGAGCTTGGTCTCTTTTTTCAGCTTAGAAATTTCCCTTTCTTGCATTTTATTGGTGTTACGCATTTCACGTAGCTGTCTTTCGACATCAATGCTCGTGGAGCAGATTTCTAATATTTCAAGAGTATGAAGAATTATCATCATTTTGAACATTGTGAACTAATGTACCATGCACGATCCGTTCCAGTACAACAAAGCCATAACAACTGTTACAATGGCTTATCTAATTTCTATAACTTGATATTTTTCAGCCTGAGATGAAAGGATCTATTGCATTTTGTGTAAATTAAATAAGTAATATCTGCGCTGTTATGTAAAAATCAGTAGCATTATATCGATTACGTAAAATTCAGCACATGCAAAGTTGTACATTAATTGATTCGAGGACAAGATGCGTTTTGTCGGACTAAAGAACTAAACTGTTTACCCGGGGCCTTAAGGCAAAGGCTAACAGTTTGGTTTCAAGAGTCTACAAAAGCTTTTATTCGCGAGAACATAGTCAGATAATGTTCTGTTCTACAGCATACTGCTTAACTTTACAGATATTGTGCTTGCTTTCATTCATCTTGACAAAATTGACAAAATTGACAGATATGGCTGTTTTAACCAACATTGTAAGTTGAAAAAAATATGTCATAGCGGTCCAATTCATTATTTTCAGTAGTGAAATATTGTGATTGAATAAAAAGTATTTCCGGTCACACGGTGAAAGGATATCAGTGCTTGAAAATATAATTTCTGACTTGTCATAAGATTCTTGCGAGACAGGATTTAATTTAGATATTTTCACTCATGCTTCTTACTCGTAAAAATATGAAAAAAATCCTGCCTCATCCGTGAAAAAATTTCATATCTATGTATAAAATATTGAATATCCCCTGTATCTCATTAACAGGTCTAGAGAATATATCTCCGTTAGTGGTAAAATATCCGTGGTATAGACAGCTCTCTAAAACATTGAAAATGTTAGACTTTTTAAAAAAATTATTTTCAATTTTTTTTAAATGCGCATAAGTGTAAAGATATTTGCTGTGTGGTAAGTGTTCATCACTCACTGCCTCTTTACATGGCTTCCCATTCATGATGAGCTTTTATCTATAACGGGGTTTTCCATCTCCATAAGTACTTCAGGAAGATGTAGGTTGTATCTTTATAACATTCACACTTTTAGGTGATGAGTGCAGAGAGCAATAAAAGTAGAACAGTGAAGATCTCAAGCATTCTGTTTTCCAGTATCACGTGGTAAAAGATTTCTTTAATCTTTTTATCGAAGATCCTTACCATGCTGCCAACAGTTAAAATTCTGGTATTGGTCTTCCTTGGCAACGTTTGTCTTGCACCGTACACAGATGGCCGAATGTTCAAAAATTACCAATGTAAGTACCACGATACTGATGAATTATAATGAAATGTTTTGACTGATTTGGAGAAGTATGTCATTGTGCATGTCGTGATCTCGGAAACATTTAGATTACACCACAAATACAGTTAACTATATCTCAATATTAACTTCCACAAAAGTTTGTTTTTGCTGGTTTTGCAATCTGTTATTTTCGATTTAAGGGGGCCGACTCTAGTTTTCATTGCGCAATATTTCGCGTTAAAATGAAAACTGTTTTAAAGCAACTTTTTTCACTTGATTAATAAAATTAAACAAAATTTAGCAATTGCAGGTTTAAAAATGTAATAACAATTTTATATAACTGAATTTTTAACCGATTTTGCAACTGATAGGTAGGATGACGTCGTTACAGTGCGTTTTTGACGTTATGATAAACTGAAGCTTTAAAAGAAAGGGGTAATAGAGATGTTATTAAATAAAAAGTAATAAACATATGCTCTTGAAATTTACTACATAGGAATTTGATAATCTCCTCATCATATTTTATTATTTTTGTATAAATCCTATGCATGCGTCATATTTTGTAGCACTATATAATAACAGGAAAATTCGTTAATTTTTGGCCTTTTGAGATGCCCCCCTCTGGTAACTTTAAGACGGTAGAATTTTGTGTTTCTTACACATAATGTACAAGATAGTATTACTCATCATATAATATATACATTTGTGGTATCTTTCCATTATATAAACATACAGAGAGTTTCTGTCAAAGTCAATACATGACCGAATCACACGGCGCAATAATATCTACCGTTACTTATAAATATAAATTGAATTGCTTTTCATTTATAAAGATGAACAAAATAAGCAAGTGAAATAATTGTTTTATCTACAACGTGAACAAATACTTCATACATTTTTGGTGATCGATTTAACCTGTGTACATAGAGAATATACCGATAGAAACTAGACTTTGTTTACAAGTTTTATGTCACTTTTGTCAACTGCACAGTCTCTATCTTTTTAGTTTATCCTTACTTTTGTTAGACTTTAAGTTAAATCTTCATTATATTGGCTAAAACTATATTTTTTCATTTTAAATTCTACTCATGATAAATGTGTAAATCTATTGGAAAATATCAAATTATTGCAATCACGCAACGAATAGCTGAGAAACACCCTTATCGGCGCTGTCGTACTTCAATGTAAACTGTCGACAGTGTCTCCTTGTTAACATCATAAAATTTGATATACCTTTACTTACTGAAATCGTAGATTAAATGTTTTTGATCAAAATTAAGAGAGAATCTATTCACTATTACTGATCACAAGTAGCCTTTAACAAAATAGAAACAGAATTCTTAGTGTGAGCATACCGCCTTTCAGCCGATTTACTCCTAGCGCACTTTTGACGGAAATCTACGGCGACTGGTTATGCAATATTTATATTCGAATATATTTAATTTAATATTTAATTGTCCATCTCAAATGTATATATAAGTAATAAATTTAACGTGATCAAATCTGAGAAGGCCTTCGGCCTTCACTTGATAAAAAAACCGGTTCAATTTGTTTATAAATTTGTTATTTATTTCTTAATTATAGTTTGAATAAAAACGCTATTGTAGTATTTGTATAATTTCCTTTAAAGTGCTAAAAATTGGTACTTTCCTAAATAATCCTTTAGTAAATGTACCTGTATTTTGAGTTGGTCCCTTAGAAATACCTGGACGGTAGATTTCGCCCAAACTTTGCATGTACACTAAACTTAATGTCAGTTAAATATGGTATAAAAACGAAGAGTTTCGCTATTGTAGTTTTCACGCAATAAAATCATAGTCGGCCCCCTTAAATTAGCAAGTCAAAATTGAGGAAACTCGGGGCTGTCACTTCCTAAGCGGATGTAAAATCCCTAAGGTACACTTCTGAGACAACTGATTCATGGAAAAAGCGGTATAAAGTAAAAACAACCTCAAAAACTGCAGTTTCTGTGTGATTGCTCATAATATCTTCTCCCAAGAATAAACCATTCCTGAAACCAGTATAAGCTGATACGCTTTTATATATATGACAGAGGGACAAATTGGCTGAAATATCGCCGACTCGGTGAAGCAATAACCAATCAATCAATATTGCAGAGAGCAAGTCTGAAAGAAGTGTGATATTAGGCTTGTAACTTCTCCATCATTTACATATATCCTATCTTTAAAAAAAAAACCCAGTTCAATTTGTTTTGAAATTCATTCAAAATTTTCACAGTCAAACATTGTCACTTGCGAGTGTCCAGTATCACCAATTTTGGATACTTACTAATTTGTGATACCCGTTAAATTCTATAAGCAATTTGGCTGACGAAGGAAGTCATACTTGTAGAAAATAAAATACAACAGCGCTTACTTTTATTTTTATTTGTCTATATTTTCAACGTTTTTGACTTCCAACAATTTTTTTCAAAACAAAAATATGACAATGTCTGCTTTGATTGAAGGAATGATTTTGAATGCCGAATATCATAATATATTAATAATGACTGGGGTGTCCATGCGTATGTCCTTTTAGATCTGTTTGTGCTTCCTTAAACCATTTCCCATTACAAAACACTGACAATGTCATTCTTTCCATCAAATTAAGGGTAGCTTTATTTTAACTGCAACATCTCCCGTAGCAGCCATGCACGGTAGCTCAGTCGGTTGAGTGTCCGTACCGTGATCGGGAGGTCTTGATTTCGAATCTCGGTCGCGACTGCTCTAAGTCGATAAAAAAATTGGGAGCAACCGTTTCTTCGCCATGCGCTCGACATTTTTTAGTTCAAAGTCCCTGGTCCTTTGGATGAGACCTTAAAACCGAGGACCCGTGTCACAGCAGGTGTTGACACGATACCAATCCATCACTGCTCAATGGCTCTGAGTGCCGAGTAAAGGTCTTCACCGGTATATGGTGACGTCTCTTCATGAGTGAAAAAATTCTCGAATGGGATGTAAAACAGCATACAATCTCCCGTACCACTGAATAAAAACAAAAAAAAAGACTTTCACTGAATCTTTATTACGTATTGCAATTTTACGTGTACCTTAAATTTGTCTTTGGATAGGACAGTGTTTTGTGGTTTCCCATAGCATTCACTGAATAATATTAAGAGTACTAGTGTTGTATCTCCTCCTATACCACTGGAAACAAATTCACCATACTGTCAATTAATCTTTAGTGAATATGGACATTGCAAGTCCTACATCAACAAGTCGCAATTTAATGTAAGTCCTGCATTTACAAATATTAAGAGAATGTAAGTCCTGTATTAACAAGTCGCAAGTGGATGAAATTAGTGCACTGAAAAGTATTAGGAGGGTGTATTACTTTGACAAGTTGTAATAAATTAAGGGGTTGTAAGGTCTATATCGCTTTAATGCTCAAAACTGTTTGAAACATTAACCTTGTTTGGTAATCAGGAATTTTATTGTTTAAACTAACAACAATTTAATTTGAAAAGACCACAAAATCTTCCTAGAAAAGTACTTAAGTTAAAATGAGTAAGTTGTTACATTTTCCAAGTATTATTGTCTCAATTTGACCAATAAAGGATCACGTAAAAACTTATAGAGTCATGAGTTCTCGAGTAATCTCAAGTTTCATATACATAATATTTAAATAACCACTACAATATGAATCTTTCATTCGTCAATTAGATCTAAAAAATAAAATTTCTTAAATTACTTTAACCTAGATTCAGTCAATAGAGTGTTGTCCTTAACTTTATTTGACACATTATTTGACACTTGCAGAATAAATGATGAGTAGTTGTTTTGAAAACACTTGACATTACAAAGTATCTTGTGATAAAAATCACCAAAGCTATTCATGAACACATACAATTTTCTGATGGCACTCCCATACTGTCAAAGGGATTCACATAGTTTCTCATGAAAGCATATGGAGGCAATGAACTAGTTTCAAGCCCAATAGTCCATTCATACAAAACAATTCAGAAGTCCAGAGGTGGGATTAGATGCCTAGGAGAATAAAGTATCCCCATATACCGATCACTCCATCTGTGAGGCCTACGTACTGATAAGTGAAAAAGAACATTTCGTAATTACACTGACACTGTAAATTTACTTTAAAAAACTTAATTTCATGAGAATTTTACAAATAAACAAGAATCCATGTTTGTTGTCAATATATGTTATCACGATTTGTCAATATATTCATTACATTCTAATTTATTTTCGAAAAATATTTGTATTCTAGACTACGGTCGATACAATGACCTTATCAGCAAATATAATTTATCATTGAGTCAAATGCTGACTTACGTTTTTCATACCAATTGTTAGTCCATTGTTTATACACTAAATTGACGACGGATTTTTCCGTTATTTCCCGATCATGACAAAGAGCAAACAGCGGGTATGATCGGTCGGCAGGGGATGCTCACTCCTTCATGGCAACTGAACCCAACTCTGATGTTTTAGAGATCTGATGTTTTAGAAGTTGATTTGGAAATACTGATATATTATTAAATTTGTATTCAATACCTTTGTATTAAATACGTTTAACTCAATTAATTTTAAAGTAATTAAAAAAATCACAAATTATATATGATTTTTTTTTAAGAAAAAAATCACGATACACCCCTCATATCATATCTCGTAATAGCCTAATATTATATGTCTCTATACCTTTTTTTGTTTTTACATTACCATAACACTATTAAGCAAAAAAATATTTAATAAAGATTGATGTCCTTCTCATCATGTAAATTTTAATATGAATATCTTATCTGATGACAATAACATACAAAGCACAACTTAAATTCATCCTGATGTTTCAATCAAATCTTTTCTTTTCAAAAGTGGAAAATGAAATATATGGAGATAAATGCACTGCAATATAAAAAAATTTTCTTAACTGTGCGTCAAACAATCACTTCTTGTGCAATATACATGCTCTTGACATGTTAATACAGAAAACACTAGGAATAATTATTCATCGTATATAACGTAAACAAATAGAAAAACTCTTAAAAAGAGGAGAGATGAGGACATACTTTCTGTCGTCATTTCTGTGAATTTCACAATGTTATTTTTTTTCTTTTGAACACTCTTGAACTCATTCAGAAAAATCCTTTAAATGATTAAAGTTTAACGCATTATTTTACTTCTCAACCATGTCGCAATACAAACCCCCCTTATTTCTATGCAAATGTTTATCAAAGAAATTTTTACTTATCAAATATATATACCACTTTTAAAAATAGGATTTTATTTTATTTTTAACGTACATTATATATGATTTAATAATAATTGTTTAAACCAACCTAGTCATCTACATTACGAATATATGGAAAACTACAGCTTAAATCAGGATTAGTTACATAAAAAAAATTAGTTTAACCGTACAATTTTAAATTTACATTCAAAATTTCACAACAAAGTGACAAAAAAAGTATCGACTAAAAAGGATAATCGCAGAAAGTTTGAACATCATTAAAAGTCTATAAATTCATGCATTTTAACATCATTCCACATGCGAATAAAAAAAAGTTTGTTCATTTTAGTAAGTTTAGTTCATTTTAGTAAGTTAAGGGAAAGAGTGAGGTGGTTGCTGCTGAGTTAGGAATTGAAATTGTTCATCAAATGTTCAAATTATCTTTAGAATAAAACAATATGGTAACCTCTTAGTACACATCAAGGTGACCATTGAATGTATTTTTATTTTTTATTGTGTAAATCGCGTAAATTTAGAGTCACATGTCTATCAACGTAACAACTTTAATATTCTCAATACTTTCATACCTAGAAATTTCTTTAAATGTTCTATTAAAGATTTCATGTAAACAAAAAATGTTTTTACCAGCTAGAGGAAGATGGCTGACTGGAAGACATATGGGATTTGATGGGATGCCTCCATTCATGGCACAGCGTTATCAACAGTATGTTAGAAGAAAATTTGTAACTGATGACGATGATTTTGAAGGTAAAGAAGTGTTCACTTTAAAAAGAGTTCTTACCCATATTTTGCCGTCTAATACACAGTACAACGCTACTAAAAAGATCTCGTTTGAAAGGAAATCTATGTTAAAATAAGATGAGATAATATTTATTTAAATTGGGGTAAGACAATAAAAATATTAGCTTTAAAGAAGTATTTTCTAACCGATCTAGATAATATATAAATACAGAAATTATAAAAAAAAAAAAAAAAAAAAAAAACACGTATCTATAAATGAGCATCACATTTAGGTAAGGTATTAGTACTGTATAATGACCTATCCACAATTTCTAGTAGACGGAAGCGGAAGTGGCAGCGGCGGCGGGAAATCTGACATTGAGGACTTACCCGGTCTGATAAATACACCAACAATAAGACAAAGTGAAACTACATCTGAAAAGAGTGAAGGTGAGGATTTATTCTCATTCTGATGACAGCGTGTCAAGGTCTACACTATACACTGTAGGTTTTCTTCACTTCAATGCTGCAATCAGTATGCATGTTTCTATTTTTTCTATTTTGCGGTCATGTGCACAGCTCCTATTAAATTTATCTGTTTCCCCTAAAAGAGTCCTATAAAATCATTCAGACATTCCATTTTTGTCCTTTGGGCACAGTTTCCATTTTCCCCTCTGTCAGACAAGAAATCATTTTTGAGAGCATTTCTCTCACTTTCTCCAATTTCGTATTGTTTTATGAACTTTGATATTGAAGACCGTTTGTTATTTCCATATCCTTCATTGCAATTACAAACAAAATTTGATGTTACTACCTACCACATTTTTCAAACACCCAATTCTTAGAAAATTATGAAAGATCAATGATTGTAATGGCTGTTGTTGTAAATCTTTGTTCATTTGATGTTTATGTAGTTGTTTACTAGTATTTAGATATTTTTATACTATTAATTTATTTATTTGATAAAAAAAAAGAACTGGAACAAAATATGTTACTTTTCTCAATGTTTTCCATTGGATTTAGTGCACTTACGTAGTACTTTTAATAATGAGCTTTTCTATGTCGAAACTTCTTGGTTTTTCTTTGAACAAATTAAAAAAAAAGGATTTCCATTTTTTTTACAAGGTGTGTCAAATCCTGTTTTCAAATTCCGATCCACCTCCCCGCCTTCTCAGGAAACCAAGAAAATCTCCACAACCTCAAAAATTCCTGATGACGACCAATCTACAAGCAGTAAGAAAACCAAACCTCACAAAGTTACAGTGTCAAACCCCAACGAGCCCCTTCCAAAGAATAAAAATACTCACTTGAAGTCTTCGTTAGGAACACCTGAAAGAGCAGAAGAAGGAGATGGATTGAGCCAGCAGACTATTTACATCATCGTGGGTTCGGTGTCAGGCGGTTTGGGCCTGATCTTATTGATTGTAATGGCTATTGTTCATTTCAGCCGTAAAAATGGCCAAGATGGGTACAACCGCAACTTGATGTAAGAGGGTCATTCGTTTTTGCTGTAATTCGGAAAGCAGTTGAATGAATAATTACAAAATACAGTATTACAAACCCCATAAACGAAATATATTTTAAGTTGCATATTTTTAAGCTGTTATTTTTAATCAATTCATCATGGTAGTTAGTTTTGTAAGACAAATTGACTTTAAACTGACCATAAGGACCTTCAAAGTTGGTGTACAAACTAATATTATAGATAAATATATATATTTCTTATATGTATCTTATTCTTTATCATATTTGCTCTTAACTTCATAGATATGTACCTCATTTTATGCTTTTATTATGACATTTATTTAACATTGTACCCTCTTTGTGAAAAAAGCCCTTGATTTAATTTGAAATGCTCATAGTAATATAACATTAAAAAGACTTTCTTCACAAGTGAATGCATTAATTGGATAAATATTTCTAATAAATATATAATTTCTCGTCACATTTGTTTTCCCACTTCGTAAAGAAATATATATATATACATGTATTTATATACTTAAAGTAAAGAAGAAAAACACGAAAAACATCAGTAACGCTTTAGGCCTTTCTCTCTATCTTCAGAAGCTTTACAAAATAACATACTAATGTTACACAATAATTCGCGGAGTATATGACGTCATTATTATGAAGTCAAATGTACTATGTTCACAGTTCATTGTGCACAGGTAAAAGTACCTGAAATTTTCATGTTCTCAGTAAAATGTAGATATACATATGCATACATAATTAAATTTAATTTAATGATATATATTGCATCAGATTGTTAAGCTTTGGTTTTAACGCTCAAATGAAATGTTTTTCTTTTTGACGTCAACAAATATCATTTTCTCCTGCTATTTTATAAAACGGAAATTTCTTTTGTACGCACACGTCTAAATGTTCACTTAGTGATATTTGTCTATACTCTGGAATGTTAATCTGTGTTAAACTTGTCTCACCTATGTAATATTCACTACACCCTGGACAGGTTATCACATATAAAAGTTTTTGTGTATCACACGGCATATTGGCGTTCACTGTAAATCTTCAGCCGTTAAAGTCAAAGTTCATTCAGTACGATAGTCACCACGGAAGCATATTAGTGCCCCTTGGACACTTTCTTTTTTTAATCCCTATATTTTAAACTGTAAATTTTACACTTAACCTGTAAAATTTACTCTTTAAAGTGTAAATTCCACATTTTGATATGTACATTTTACACTTCAATCTGTAAATTTTACACTTTAATCTGTAAAATGTTCACTTTAAAGTGTAAATATTACACATTTATCTGTTTAATTGACATAGTCAATTTGGCAACTTCAGAGAGAGAGAGAGAGAGAGAGAGAGAGAGAGAGAGAGAGAGGGGGTGTAGAATTAAAGTACATGTGTACTTAATTTCAAAATATATCACCTGTTCCCATGCAGATAAGCAAGATCAGTTGACCCTTTGAACATATAACTGTAACTGTTTCCATGGTTTCCACGAGATCTGCATCACTTGTTGTAGACCCTCAAGGGGATGAGGGCTGATTTTCATTCTGCATCTCGTCCTCTAAAATCAAATTAAAATTTCAGACTATTCCTGCTGCTCAAAACATATTCACTTTTATACAAAAAAAAAAATATTGCCCTCAACAGTAAATATTACATTTTGTAAAGCCAAGGAATCTCTGTATACGCTGATTTAAGTATGAGAGTTCTTAACCTATACTTATTAGCCGAAAAAATCTCCAGTAATGGTTATTACTACTAGTATATAAAAGCTTTGCTTTATATATTTGCTTTTAAAATTGTACAAGAGAAGTTTTTTTTTACGAGCAGACGATCTAGTGGTATTTCGCTTAAGTAAATTTTGTCAAATAAAACGTTATTTACAGTACGTTAATTGCAAGAAATAATTTTAAGACTTTCTGTTTTGATCCTCAGGTTGCGCCTTCCTAATTGCAGATTTTACCAATAGGAACTATGGAATACGAAAAATGAATGTATAAAATACTTTTAAAACCCAAATCTTTCGTTTGAAAAATTTAATATTGCAAATCAGACTGAATGCTGAAGAAAAAAAAATCTAAACATCACGGATTTTTATAAAAGATGGAAGGGAAAACGGTAAATCAAATGTAGGGTAACAGTAAACTTTCTCTTATCATGGACAAAGGGTTTGTGCTGGCAGACTGGAGGACAGACTGTATGCTGATTTTTCCCCGAAGGACCGTATGGAAAGCAATTAAATTGAGTGAACCATTCTATAAAACGATCTTCAAATTCTGAGTATTAAAACGTTCCTGGACTTTTAAAGTTTTATAATTTATGTAGTTTGCTTTGATACAAGAAAATATTTTAGGAAACATTACTAGTGTTTTGATTAATGGGATAATTTTATGATTATTTGATAGTAGAAAAAAGCAGAAAAAATGGAACATTTGTTATGTATGATGATCAAAATTCTCCAGAAGAGCAATTTTAAAGTAAAAAAAAAAGTAGGTCATATTTTTAATTGTATGCAAAATTGTTTGATGCTTAGTGTAGAAGAATGCTTTAGATTCATTGATCTTTTAGTAAGGATTCAGTCACAAATCAGTATAAATCCAGATTTATGTACAGGAATTTAATAATAAATGTATTGGATACCTAACTTAGAAAGATTGATATAATTATGCATAAAATAACGGATATCGAGACGTTTGGGTGAACAAACTTAAATACATATGATAAGTCAAATTAATATGAAATAAATGTTTATGTACGTAATTCTTTTAATTTGATTTCTAATTAATATTCCAAAACTAGACAGAACTCTAAAAGGGTACATGCATAAATTAGGCAGTTTACTTACAATCAGGAAGGCGTATAGATATCTAATGATTCCTTTCCAAGAACTGATGATGAAAAACATGCTCTCGAGGCCTCCATATCCTATGCATTGTTAATAAAAATAATATGAAGTGAAACAAGGTCTGTTACATTTTTAAATAAAAAAAGAAACTGTATTTAGAATGCATGGTCCCATTCTTCAATTGTCAACCATATGTCCCATAGGTACTGCTTAAATGATTTCATAAATAACCATTCAAGACGGCAAAATAGCTCTAGTCGCTCTAACCAGATGTACAGTCCACCTAAGTTCAGTGAAACGTACACCCAGATAGCAAGCAGTTTTCTTTGTAAATCTGAACAGAACGTGCATGACTTTCGTGATGTAAAATCGTTGTGTTGTGTTTTTTTTTTAATTTGCACATTAACCTTGTAACAATCGAAAGCATTTCTAAAACTCTACTTACGTAAACAGTGAATACATGTTCGAAACGAAGTAATTTAAAAATGTGTCCTTTAATCTTGAAATTTATTTTTCTTCTGAAAAAAAAAATTAAATGAGTAAATTAAATGCTTTTTTGCGTGGACCCTGAGGTCCACGCAGTAAATATAATTATAAGCGAGGTTAAACCGGATGCTAAGGGCAAACAACAGGCTACGCATTCGCGAGAATGCTAGAGGGTTCGCCTCCTTAGGCTCCTTGCCCGTACGATAATTCGCCCTATAGAATATGCTATTAAATTCGCATATTGTATTTATATATTCATTGGCGGATCCGAATTTCCCCTTTATACATAAATTACACTTTCATAATTTTCATTGATTCTATGGGCATTGGCACAAGCTTTTTAAAAAGTAGGAAGAACTATTTACTTGCAGTATACAGATACATTTAACTTAACAAATTGAATAAAAAACGTCATTCAACGACTAGTTCTAGCATTTAAAAGGTAGAACAAGTTTTCACCGGCATCACTTTTGTGCATCAAGGCTCGCAAATAATTTGATATTTCAGCAATCCAAATACCGTTTGATAGAGCTCTGTAGCAACGGTTTTTAATGTGGAGGGGGGGGGGACAAAACAAATCTGCGTATTACAGAGTTGTGCTACACTTGTACCATCAGATCTATTTTTCCCAAGATAGATTTCTTCCGTATAAATCCAGAAGTGATGTCAAATCCCAGCCATTATGGGTTACATGTTTCAAAATAGCCCGATTTCTTTAAACTGACAACTGCTATTATCTGGCTATTATCGGAGATAAAATTAAACAATTGTGCTTCGAGACTACAATCAGTCATAAGTAGGCAGATCATTGTAGAAAATGTGGACAAACCTACATGAATATTCACTACACCTAGAAATTTTCCTAAATTGAATTTGGATTAGAAATACATGCATATGGTCCACGTATTGCAGTCCCTTTTTAAAGGACAGCAACTTGTTCAATTTATTTAAGAAATAAACATTAATGTTAACAAGTTTTCTGGAAAATGAACTTTTAGTTGGTCACGTGATCAAATCCTGTGAAGCCTGAAGGGCTTCTCGGTAGATTTGATCACGTACCAACTAAAAGTTCATTTCCCAGAAGCCTAGAAGTTGTTTGGTTTGAAAGTTCGTTTCGCTCCAACATTTGAATATATACAATGATGTTCAGCAGTCCAGTTCAGGAATTCTGTGTTTATAATCATTATGTAAGAACAATGATTCCTACTGAGAAAAATCTTACTTTTTTATGAGTTTTTAATATATTTGAAGTCAAAAGCGGTAATATCCCCTGTTTTAGTTAACATAACTTCAATGGAAATTCGGGTTAAAAAGATAAGTCCGATTTTAGGCTGTAATTATAGTATTTAAAGCATTCTTCAAACCAAAGGAAGATCTATTGAACATATGTTTAATGAAAATATCTATACGTGTCAGTTATTTTACTCTTTTCATCGCTTTAACTTGGTAGTTCCGAAAACAGATAGAAATATATCTAAACAAGATATCACTTCGCCGAGCGATTCGGTCGCGCTATGACCTCTGACACCCAAATAAAGTTCACACAGAATTGTACAAATTTTCTCTTCAATACTAGTTAATATGTTCATCTAAGAAAGATATTTGCAAATGTAAACTTTTGACTGTTTTTATGTATATAGAGTTAGTTTTATCATATTGTAAATTTTGCATTTACCTCCCCCTAGTAAATTCAAAATTTCAGCATGATAGTTCTTCAAAGAACTATATGCGGTATATTGCATATGTTTGCCCCCACAAAAGTCAAATTTTGAAAACTTCCTGAAATGTGCTGAATTCAATAAATTGTACGAGAAATATAAGTTAACAGAAAATATTATAGTTCCAGAGCAGTGTATTCACAATTTCTGTTTTTATGACGTCACAAACTAGTCCGATTTTATATTCTTTTTCAGAAAGAGGACAAAATGGACAAAATTTCAACAATTTAAGCTTTAAAATTTATAGAGCGCATGTGTGTTCAGGAACAATATTGACATATTTCATTGATATTATCATTCTACACATTATATCAAAATATTTATCCGGAACACACATGCGCTCGGTGACTTTTATTTAAAATATCGACGAAATATGTACATTTTTCTGCAAAATTCATAAAAAACTGAAATTTACGTCAT